ACCTCCTGGACAGCTCACTAAGAATGCAGCTTCACAATGAATGTAAAATGGATGCTGTCCAGGAGGTGGCAGGGTCTGGGAGGGAGGGTCTGCTGCTGATTGGCTGGACTGTGTCTGCTGACTGTGAGGTACAGGGTCAAAGTTTACTCACTGATGAGTCCGCGGCGAATCGTTTGCGAACCGTTCGGGACATCACTAAGCTACATTAATGCTGTATTATTGCGCATGCACAAGAGTGCACCACTGAGGTCTATAGAGGATCCTGTAAGACTGCATAGATCACTACATAGATCTGTAGATCATGACTCACAATAAGGAAAATAATGTCCCTACTATGTCTTATGGTATTATTTATATATCTTTATAAAATACTCAGAAGTTGCAGAGCTGTTATGGAGTGAGTAAGAAAAACACCCATATAATATGTCATATTCTATACCCCTTTCTCCAGTTTCTATCTTAGCTGAATCTTAAACGCCTTAATGAAATTACTTGATTCACGATTGCTCCTGTCCTTTATTTTGAATTGAGTCTTTATCTTTTATATAGTTTTAAAACATCATCAATACTTTGTAAAGTCCTGGGCCATATGAAAGTGTTACTTGCCCACATGCTGTTCCTGTATCTCTAAGATAAATTGTTCTGTCTGGCGTAATTTGTAGTCTTCATACAGTGCTTTGGATGAGAGTTCCATACAATATAGATGGAAGCCGTGGGTTGATATTCATTTATATCCTTTAATCCATTATAGAGGGGAGATCAGCCGCTCCAATCTCCTTGGCCATTTGATGACCTTCTCAGCTCAGGGTCAAGAGAAGGTCACCTGTCCCATGGAAAAGGAGAAGCAATGTGGCTTTGTTCTCTTATCTTCTCGCCCCGTCATTGAGCCTTTGCCAGTGAAGGTGGCTGCCAATGACAGCCAGTCGGTCACTGTTGGGTCACAGGTTAATATCTCTCCTTGTGACAAAACAAGATTCTAGGGGCAGATTAATGGAACAAAAATAAAGTGTGTGTGCAGGTCTGTCTGTGTGAGGAGCGGCAGTGAAATGAAGTGTTTGAGGATGGATCCAGTGTGGGAGATCAGATACACTTTCACAATCCTGCTCATCGGGGGAGGGTGGATCTCTTGGCCTCTTTATAAAGGAAAATACGAGATATTTCAATACAACCTACTCTGTCTTTCTTTTGATTCTGTGTGTTGGAATGTACCTTTTTCCACACAATTAAACATTGTCAGGAAAACATTTCCCCAGGGGAAGGAAAGCCTTTCACAGCTGTGTGAGATGACCCAGCAAAACTAAAACAACATAGCATTCATGTAGCGCCAACATATCTCCAGCACTGTACAGCAAGTTTATATGTGCAGTTGTTACAGAGGTAGCATGTTATTGGATGGCGTGACAATCCGCTAACGTCCGTCCACAATTGTATTTCCCGTTTTATATACACTTAACACACACTTACCTACAACAGTAATGTCTTGGGGTGCTTAAATATCAACTTGTTTTTTCCCCCTTTGGTTTAATATGTAGGTAGGTAAGTTATACACTGTATGGTGTAATATAGAGGCAGGCTATACACTGAATGGTGTAATATGGAGGCAGGATATACACTGTATGGTGTAATATAGAGGCAGGCTATACACTGAATGGTGTAATATGGAGGCAGGCTATACACTGAATGGTGTAATATGGAGGCAGGCTGTAAATTTCATTATCAGAAGACGCACACTCACATATATCATGAAAATAGGTTACAATATAAGAGTAAAAGTGTAACACAATGTAACCATGAAACCTGCTCTCCTCCTATAACACAGACTGGCAGGTAGAGAGCTGTACATTGTGACAGCAGTTGGAAGATTCATGATATATAAAGTGCAGCAATCACCAATGGTTTTGTTGGTTTCCATGAAAATTGCCCAACATGAAAGGTAACACTTTGATAAATATCTCCCTGTGTATCCAGTAAAATATATACAATGGTAAGAAATCTCCTCCTGCTAATTGTGCTGCCCACGTCATATTGGTAAAGAAGGAAATAGTGTTGGTGGTAGGCTGTCAGTGGTCACTAGGGGGCATGGCACTGAATCCATGAAAAGGGTTATTCACTAACTAATGAGAGAATCAAAGAGAATTTCCAAACTGGCAAATTTCGGTGTCAGCCATTGTTCTAGACCGGCTACTTTTACATTTGATATTCACTTTGAATTGTCACGTTAGTAAATAATCCTGTCAGTTGGGAGTATTCTGGGTATTTAACATAGAAAAAATGGAAGCAAATACTTTCTTTATTTCTTTTTTTCACCCTACAAAGCAATTCAGAATTACGTGACTACACTACAGTAAGCAATAGAAAAGTTGGGCCAAATAAATATCCAGATCACTTATTCTCCATTTATACAGAAATAGAGATACCAGCTCCAAGAATCTGCAACATTTCTCTTAACAAATAAGAATAGGCTGTAGACCTTAGCAGAGACAAAGACATGGCTTACATGTGTTCTGGTAGAAAAGAGTATAATAATATATAATAATATAAACCAGTGAAAGGCTCATTTCCATTATTCATACACTGTGTTCCAGATAACACTTACATTGCCCAAATGAATCATTTCTCATTTCTACAGGTGTCACTTTACACACGGTGCACAGTCCTGTCACAGATAATTGCTGTACTCCAAGGATGCCAATCCAACAATTCAGACACAATTCAGGAATTCAACCACAGGAGCTTGAGAGAGGTTCTAGGAGCTCGACACCGGATTCCGACATTTCCTACTTGATGTAAGGATCTTGTGGCCTAGAATAGAACATGCTGCCTTTCCCTGTAAATAAACGTGACAAGAAATCAGTGACATTTGTTTGTGATATCACTAAGCTTTGTGCAAGGACTTAGAGAAAGGCAGTATATTAGAAATGTAAAATAACATTCTATATTTTGCCAAAATATGATTATAGAAATTCGTACTCTATAGAGTAATGTTTCAGGAAAGGACAATAGAACCATAGCAGCTTTGTGGGTGTGACTCTATTAGCAGAAAAAAAGGAGCAAAACTGTAGGCAAATGGCTGAAAACATAGGAATCCTTACATAAAGGTAGGTAATGAAGACTGGGGGTAGGGAGGAAGAGAAGAGAAAAGAAAAAAAGGGGGTAAACAAGGCGAGTACACATGGAGAGGGGCATGTTCTTGTCCTAGTGTTTCATTCTCTGTAAATACCTGGGCACAATCTCCATTTAAACTAACATGCACCCGGCATTAGAAGCCGTGTATAAGGCTCCAAGCATGGTGGAACTTTGTAAATAATCTAATAATTAGAGATGCAGAATTGAAACTAATTAAATCAATTCTTCATGATCTAAGGGCAACCTTGACGCCGTGCTATCTCTTCCCTTTAATTTAACACTGGCCTTGGACTAACTCACTACGTTCCAAAGGCCGTTAGCAGAATCACTATGACTAATATCTGTAATGAGTCCTGACTTTTGCCCCGTTTCGTGGGGTGAATCTATAAGTTTTAGGTTGCTTCGTCCCAGCCCTTATTAGCCCTTATTGGTGCTTCCCTGCAACCCTTGGCTATTGCTCACAGCTCCGCCTGCTCATTAAAGACCATTAATGTTTAGCAATCTAGTCTTATTTGTTTCTCGCTTGTTCCTGCTATTGTAGACTTTGCCTTGTGGATGTGTAAGCATATAGCAAATGAAAGAACAAACTGACATAACGTGTTTCTAAAATCAGCATCATCTACATGAAATTCTTTAAATTATGTTCAAATTCACAATGTTACCTTAAATTGGCATTTCCAGAAGGATTTAAATCAAAATCCCCCAAAAACCTCAAATCTTCAGAAATGGGAAATGTCACTGAACCCTCGTAAAGCTGAGCAGGAGTGAGTCATTGCAGGGAACCCTTGCCTTGTTTTGGGGTTGGTTCTTTCATCTGGTGCCTGTAGGTCATGCCATCTCTTAAATTCTTCATTCCAGGCGGCAGCAGTTAAGATCCTTCAGTTCAAAGTAAAGCATAATGTTATTTAAGTAAATAAATCACCAAACATGCATTGCGCTCAGGAGAGGGACAGTCCTAATGCATAGAAGAATTTCTTTACATTATTCTGCCCCCTGAGTAACACTGTGTAGCTGTAATAAGGCTGGTCACTTGAAAGGATGATGAGTTTGAGAATAGCACATATGTCTAATGCCAGTTAACGTGCCATTCTTACACCAGCTTATAAGGGCTATGTATGGGTCCTTCTGAGAACAGACATAAAAGGTGATTCAGCTCAATTGGCACCATGTGCTTAACCTTTTACTAAAGTATCCAGCTCACTGAACTCAGGCCCTGGACTTTCTCAAACCATTATCTATGAGTCATCCATCCTAAAGAGTCTATATGTTTATTCACCAAACCTTGATTAGGAGAACTGGAAATATAGGCCAAAGTAGCTCAATTCTTTATGTTTGCTAATTTTCAAGCTGCATTGTGAAGGAGAGAAATGTGCAGTGATCCAGTGGGCTTTTTTTTAATGCAATGTATTATTTTTATCAGTTTATGGAATTTACTTCACGGATTCCCTGAGGAAGTTACAAGAGTCGAAGAAACGCATTGTTGTCGGTTATGTTGTTACATGTTTAATAACATTGGTCTTCTGATATTTATTTTAACACAGGTATCCCCTCTTCCAAAGTTAATTTGATACATGAAGACCGTCGGGGGATGTTATCTTTTACTCAAGACTCCACTGCAATGTTTACCTATATAACTTGGGTACCACACCAATCATTTTTAGATATCTCCTACACTAGGACCGTGAGAGGGGCACTAGGGAAGCCATCCATACTGTTAAGTATACCTTTTCTCATGTATATCACTGGGTATAGTGTGTCTCACTATATTCATATATACAGTGGGACCTCGGTTTACGAATTTAATGCGTTCTCTGGGATGTTTGGGTTTCTCTGGGTTTTCCATAGGAATGCACTGAAAACCAAATGAATCTGTTCTGGAGGTCAGAAAAAAGTCAAAATGAGCTGGCATGGAAACCAACCCACAATGCAGAACACACAATAAAAGACATGCAAACGACGAAACTCAGCTCCCTACCTTTCCACACCTTGAGAAATGCACCAAAAAGTGCCAAAACAACTTGCAAGCAATTTCCAGAATGGCTCCAAAACTCGATGCAAACGCCGCTCCAACACCTCCACACTCAACGCCACGTGCTACCCACAGGCTCCAGCATGCACGGGGCGGTGCTATAAACCTCCCAGGTGCAATGCATCCTGGGGAAACGTGTTTTGTATTGCGAAACAAATTTGTAAACCGAGGCATTATTTTCAATGGATTTTCATTTGTAAACCGAAAAATATGTTAACCGCTGCCCCACTGTATATCCTTTCCCCTTCTGTATTTATATCTGTGGTCCACTGTACTTGTTTCAATATGGCACCAGCTATGCTATGTGATCTTTTTACCTTGTGATGAAAGCAAAGGCAGACAGATATCAGAGATAATTTTATACAAATCACTGAGGTTTTCCCAACATTGGATTCTGTTATTATGGGCTCGTGTTTGAGCTACATGAACTGTCTGATTATTACCCATGATTAAAGGTGCAGTATCCAATGTGGAAACAGAGGGGGGCGCCTACCCTCCAGCAATGGGTGACAAGGGTGGAAGAGATCCACTCAATGGAATCCTTAACTGCAGACCTCCACGGTAGACAGGAGCAATGTGCACTGACCTGGTACCCTTGGGAAACATACCTAGCCAACAGATTAGCAAACCCAAACACGGCCGCCCAGAGGCCCGCAGTAAACCGACTCATACAGAGCTAAGCCACCCAGCTACTCCTCCCACCTAGGTCCCCTACCTCCAGACCCTTTCCCGAGACTGGACATTGGACTGAACCCCAACGACCGACTCTGACGAGCTCATAACTGGGGCTTATCAATACACACACCCACTGTAATCACAGGTGCAAAATACACAGGAAACCGAGACCCAACCTAGAGCTGATACCGGCATGAAAACATCCCCTCCTGGCCACCTAGACTGATACCTAGAGTATCCTCCCATATGACAAACTATACCGATAGGCATACAAATATATACACCAACAACTGCCAACCCACAATAGTGGGGAACTTAACCTAAACCATCACACTTTGCTCTCACCCAGGCGACCAGTTGGCCTTGAATGTTAATAAGTGCTGAGTAGACTGGGGAGGAGTTAAGGCACTAAAGATATCTTTTCTCGCTACCGTGGCTCTATACCATGCCCAACAATATATATATATGTCAAGCGACAAAAAGTTCTCTGACACTGTTGGTATGAAACGTGAAATGAGTAATATAGCGTGTCAAAAAACTTACCCCCCACAGCAACCAGACTAGACACCGATTCACACCCTAAACGTAGAGCGCACACCATAGGTGCAACAAACTGCGCACTGTAGGCAAGTGGAGATACGAGACTAGAAACCTGACCTTAAATAATTCTACCTAATGCATGTGATGGAAACTATAGAAATATTGTTTGAGAAAACTGTTTTGAGAATGTTAAAACAATGGCTACGAATGTTGTTAAGTTATTCAGAAAACTGATGTTACAATTGACGTTTTACCGTAACTACATCTTTCCTTGAAAAAATGATAAAAATCGAAAATAAAGATTGTCAAAAAAAAAAAAAAAAAGGTGCAGTATCTGTTCATCCTCAGCCAAACACCAGATCACCCACTATTGCACTCCAAACCTGATCCACAAACCAAAAATAAATTAAATCTAGTGCAGCCCTGAGCCAGGAAGCCCCTCCAGTGGCCATCTGAGGAGTGGCCACTTGGAGGTGTCACTAGGGGCGATGTAAACCCTGCCTTTTCTCTGAAAAGGCAGTGTTTACATGAAAATGCTTGAAGGGAGCTATTATACTCACCAGAACAACTACAATAAGCTGTAGTTGTTCTGGTGACTATAGTGTTCCTTTAATAAGCTTTCCAAATCACTCCATACTGTTAGAAACATTTCCAAATGATTTATCTACAGAAATGGTGACTTGTGTAGATAAATCACTTGGAAAGTTTGCTTTACAACATGGAATCATTTGGAAAGCTTATTAAATCAAGGCCATAGTCTGGGAAAACATACCAGTGATTTATGAAAGTGACGCATCTGAAAATACTGGATGCTTGTCTATAAGAATGGATTAGGAAAATACTGGCAAATTGGTCACATGTCCGGTGGGCCACGATGGCAAAGTTCAAATTATCTCCCCTTCACAGCCATAGAACTAGTGTACAGAGCTAGCTGTGAGAAGTTGAACGATCCCAATAAACAGTCAGCATAGCATGGAACATGCGGTCTGCACCACCTACTGGTGCAGACCAGATAAATCACTCCATGAGGTCATCAGCGCATTGCTGTGGGTTTCCACGGCAACACACTGGTTCCCTCAGTGCAGACTGGAAGCGGCCTGCACCCATTAGGGGTTGAAAAGCACCCACTGCGAAGTGTTACATATTCTCATGGTGTCATACAGTCAAATCCTGTTGATGTCCCATAAGAAAGCACTGACTTGACTTGCATTACCTTGTATTAATCAAGCCTTCAGTAGTCGATGTCTGACTTGTAGATATTTTTTTTTCTAACATTTTTGCTTTTTAACTTATTTGCATTTTTTCTGTTTTATCTAGACAATGACTTTAAAACTGGAGGGCTTCTCAAAGCTGTCACTTTAGCATCTTTAATCTCTCTTCTGCTACTTTCCCAATGGCCTTTATTTCCCTGTGAGAATCTCTGTGTTCGTCCATCATTACACGCCGTTACTTGGATGTATTTCGTGTAAGTTAATTAGGGTGTATGCACATTTATCACATTGTAATAACAGCAGAACCCGCAGCTCATGATAAGAGTGCAGGTGGTGATCCAGAGTCCTGAAAGCACTGCTTAGAAATCGTTGTAAAGAAACTTTCCGTATATTACATTTGAACCATTGTTTTCAGTGAGATTTTGTTTCAGTAGAATTTACTGTAAAATGACTGCAGTTATGTGATCAATTCAGCAGTAACCCTTTGTGTGTGAGACATTTTTTCAGCACAACGATTTGCCCAGAAACGGTTAATCAAGACATGAAGTTGTGACTTTACTCCACTCACCTATGATTTAAAGCTGGAGTGTATTATGGGTGAGGAGTATCCCTTTAAAAAGGCACTTTATAAAAGATCTGCCATTTATAACTAATTAATGAAACATATAAAGTCTCTTCTAAGACTTTAGAGTTCATTTTCAATGAGAAGCCTTTGATTGGTTATTTCCCCGTGAAGAGTCTCTTCCAGGGAAAAAAAGGAGGGCTTGCAAAGACTGCAGGGATAAGAACTGTGCATGCTCTTTTAAGATGTACCCCAAATGAATGCATGCATGAAAATGCACACATAGATTCATTGTGGGTATATCTACTAAATAGATTTTTAGAATTTTAGTCTGGAGTGTTCCTTTAACTCTTTATGTGTTGTATAGCACTGACTATGCTGAATTTATTGGGTACTTGGCTATATTACAAATACTTCCCTGAATGTTTATAGATGTAAAATAACATCATAGCCTCCACTAACCATGGACAAGCAAAATGGCTTTAGTTCAAGGTTAGGCCTGAGAGCCCTTATCTGATCCCTGCTAGTAATTTATCACGTGGAGCCATCATTAGTGTCAAGCTGTTTTATTACCCACTAACTTAACATTGAAAGCTGTTTAACTCGCAGTCAAGTGTGATGTCACTTTTGTGAGAGTGATTTACGGCTGCCTGTGACTCTGGTGGGAGTGAGCCCAGAAAGGTTTTCTGACATGAGGACTGGGGTGGAAAGTTAGAAAGTCCACTTATATCGGATAGAAACATATTATTCTCTTCCACCCAACTCTGACCATATCCAATTTATCAGGTTTATTCACTAAAGTGTGAGCTGTCAGGAATTCAAAGTGAATTCCACATTTTAGACCAAAATTAAAAAAATACTGACTTGAAGAATGTTTCCAATTAGGCTATTGATTCTTACAATTTGAAATACACATTGATTTCAAAACAATTTAAAGTTTAGTGAATATCGTGGTATGCCTATAACTCCAGGTCCAACTCCACATCATCATCGCCTTGATCCACAAACATGTTAGACACCATGTATGCGGTGTTCTGCTGCTCAGTACATAATGCTATAGTGTCATGCGTGGAGTATGCGCACTGAGTGACTGTAAATTAAATCAGAGATAGCTGTATTTTTGCAGATTTCATAATGACGGAGCTACTAAACCTGGAGCTGATTGGACAGGATTATTCTGGTGCTCGTGCAGTGCTTTATCACACAGCAGACTTTGCCATTGAAACCAATATGATGCTCCAGGTATAAGAAGGTGCACTAGGAGTTGAACTCACTACCTGAAACCTCAGGAAGATGGAGACCAAACGTTCAGGGTAGTTGGCAGATATGGAACAAATGTGCAGAGATGCCAAATGGGGTATTTGTAAGAATTGATATCAATGGTTACGTTTGGTGGCCTTCTGTGCACCTCACTAATGAGACCTACCATAGGCTGAAACGATAGTCTGGGCACCTGTATCTTACACGCAGAGGATTGCTTATGTGAAATGGTAAGGGTATAGGTTCCCTCCTAGATGGGGACTTCTCCATAGGGCATGTGTTGTCCGTAGGTTGTATCTCGTGCACTTTGTCTGTAGGTATTTAAAAAATGTTGGAGGACTTTCCTAATTTGGATAATGTATTTGAATAAAGGAATGCAATACTTATAGATATTTGTTTCATACACTGATCATTTGTAAATAAAATAAACATTTTATCGCCTAAACGGTTTTTACCCCTTGTGTGCAAAACGGTCCGTTACAATTGGTGGCAAGCGGCGGGATCGTTCCTACAGCTACAGGAGACACCGTTTCTTTGGATTTACAAGTGGGGGCAACGCATGTCCCTGTACAGCGACCCTAAAAGCAACAGAATGGAACCAGCAGTGTTATACAAGGAGGAGGACCTGGATGGCCAGGATGCATTAAGGAAAGGCATCTGGTACCAGGCCCTGGATAATGTACAATACCAGCGGGGTGAGAGTCTCCCCAGTGAAGAGCAGCGGTTGCAGAAGCAAGTGGCCCTGCGGATGCCCTTCCTGGGAGAGCAGCCCCTGGAGGAATGGGTGAAGGAACTAGAGCATCGGGTATGGCAGGAGCTATGGCTGGAGGATGCCTACCAGGCGCTCTGGTGGTATAT